CTCGCGCTCTGATTGGTCCGTGTTTTTCCTTAATAATTCAAAAACGAAGCTTCAAACCCCATTTTTGCAAAGGGAAATCTTATTCAGAATCACGTCAGCTACCATTTCAGGGACCTCTAGTTGTGAGACAGCCTGTATAATGATGTCTTAAAACATGGAATGATATCTTAAGACATTAAATGCTGTCTTAAAACATCAAATATTATCTGGAAACATCAAATGATGTCTTAAAACATGGAATGATATCTTAAACATGAAATGCTGTCTTAAAGCATAGTATAATATGATAAGGTATTGATTGATGTCTTGAAACATCGAATGGCAAATATTATAACTGTATGATGTTTAGAGAGATTAAATTAATATATTAGGTATTAAGATTGAAATGATATGCATACCCGACAGCTTCGGCAACAGGCCTCGTAGATTCTTGACCAATGAACACGTGACAAGCAAACCTTTGCAAGGTAGGATGCTTCGTTATGAAGCCGAGGTAGCGATGATCGCGAGGATGAAACGCGCAAAAGGAAACGTTCTTCAGCGAGTAGAAATAATCGTGGCATGGACCTTGACTCTTCTGCTAAAATGTGATATATAAATTTTATTAAAACACATTAATTCATTTTATTAAATTAAAAGGGAATAAGAGAAAATTGAAAACGTAGATCAAGTTTGTCCAAATATTATTAATATTATGTAGAGAATGCAGCTGATGAGAAAGGAACATTGTGAAGCTACTTTTTTAACTTTTATTAAGTTACAAAGTACTAAATATTATAATGAGGTAAACTAAAAGAGATAGCTAAAGTTGCATAAATATGTTACATAAATAAATAAATTAAAAATGAATAATTTTATGAATTTAATATTCATGAATGAATAAATTACATAAATTACTTGAACATCAGATAAATCAGACAGATTACATAAATTTCATAAATTACATGAATATCAGATAAATCAGATAAATTACATGAACATGAGGTAAATCAAATAAATAACATAAATCACATAAACATGATATAAAGTAGATAAACATTAAGCAACTCAAACAGACATTACATAAATTAAATAAATATTAAAAAAATTAAACTGAAACCTAGATTAAACAAAAAGTAGATTAAAAAAGCTCTAAAATATAGAAATGATCTGAACGAAGAGAAATGACCATTACTAACCCGTGGTTTACTCCTGTCAACCATTCGAAGACCCTGATCAGACACTTCCAAGATGCAGCTCTGCGAAACCGGCGAATCTTGCGAATTTCCAACGATTCTTCGAACTGCTTGGCAAACGACACCAGTACCTTTGTGCGCCAAAGTTTCCACAGAGCCTAAGTATCCCAGAAGATATCGTTCCCTCTTCACTTTTGGCGCTGAAGGATCAAAATCACTGTAATCCATGTCCACCGCGTAAGCCGAGGGGAATATACCTTGACGACCTGTTCTCAGGTTCACACCTTGAAATCATAAACAAATTATGATATAATTTTAAGTTTGGGACAATTTTAATATTAGAAAATATTTAATAAGAAGATTTTAAGTTTGCAACTTACTGAATAGAAAAATTTTAAGATTGGAACATACTGAATAGAAAAATTTTAAGATTGGAACAAACTGAAGAGAAAAATTTTAAGATTGGAACATACTGAAGAGAAAAATTTTAAGATTGAAACATAATAGGAAAATTGTGTGGAGGTTCATTCAGCAACATAGCTTCAGGAATTGTTTTTATGATAGATTTAGTAGCCGGAGATTAAATTGGACATCATGTTTTAATTTTGTATTGTTGTTTGTTAAATTATGATATAACTTGCACAAACCTTCGCACCATAGATCGTCAGCCTCTTTCTGAACGTAAATTGGATCACCAATTTCAAGATCAATCTCATCGTGATGTCTTGGCACGAATTTGTGTAGTCCCCGATGCGTCGCCTCCAGCAGTTCCAGTTGAGTGAACGGCACTCCACCACTCCCTTTCAAACAACATGAGAATAGGTATTAATTACATTTGTTAATTAAAATGCAAATTTTCAAGCTTTAAAATTCTTTAATTGCGAGATATATAATTTTAGAAATTTGTAAATTTGGTGCCACAATTTTAGGATCTTGGGATTTTAGAATTTTGGAATTTTAGGAGTTTGAAGTTTTAGTACCTTGGAATTTTAGGATATTGCAATTTTAGAACTTTGCAAATTTTGAAATCTGGAATTTTTTAATTTTGCAATTTTGGGGTTTGGGAGTTTGGGAGTTTGAATTTTTGGGACTTGAAATTTCAGGATGTTGCAATTTTGGGACTTTAGAAATTTAGAAGTCTGGAATTTTTTAATTTAGCAAGTTTGAGATTTGGGATTTTAGGAGTTTGAATTTTTGGGACTTTGAAATTTTAAGATGTTACAATTTTGGAATTTTAGAAATTTAGAAGTCTGGAATTTTTTAGTTTGGTAACTTTGAGATTTGAGATTTTAGGAGTTTGAATTTTTAGAACTTTGAAATATTAGGATGTTACAATTTTGGAAGTTTAGAAGTTTATAAGTCTGGAATTTTTTAATTTTGTAATTTTGAAATTTGTGATTTTAGGAGTTTGAATTTTTGGGACTTTGAAATTTTAGGATGTTACAATTTTGAGACTTCAGAAATTTAGAAGTCTGGAATTTTTTAGTTTAGCAACTTTAAAATTTTGAAGTTTAGAGGTTTCACTTTTTGGGACTTGAAATTTCAGGATTTTTAAATGTTGGGGTTTTAGAAATTTGGAAGTCTGGAACTTTTTAATTGTACAACTATGGAATAGAGATTTTAAGAGTTTGAAATTAAGGAACTTTTAAATTTTAGGATATTTAAATGTTGGGCTTTGGAAGTTGAAAAGTCTGAAATTTTTTAATTATACAACTTTGGAATCTGATATTTTAAGAGTTTGAAATTAAGGAACTTTTAAATTTTAGGATTTTTAAATGTTAGGCTTTGGAAATCAAGAAGTCTAGAATTTTTTAATTGTACAACTATGGAATAGAGATTTTAAGAGTTTGAAATTAAGGAACTTTTAAGTTTTAGGATATTTAAATTTGACATTTCAAGGTTTGACATTTTAAGTTTGACATTTTAAGGTTTTAAACTTATAAAAGAAAAAAATGAAGTCACCTGGTGTACTACTAGGTGACACGGAGTCCGTGTTCTGCAGGGTGTTACATGGAATCGGTGAAACGCTTTTGGGCCCGTTTTCCGGCGAGTGGGCAGTAGAATGGCCACTGTCAGTAGCCATTCGCTCGCTGTCGGGTGAACTATCCTCGTGTCTAAGCCTCGAGTGACATTTTCGTAAAACTAAATGCGGTCTATTAGAAGGTGAACCAGTAGCTGCGTTAAGTTCGTCCGCCAGAGAGGTCGACGACTGCATGAAGATCTGATTGACAGGCAGAGCTGCAAAGAAAAAATATTATTACACAAACTTGATTTAACTTATCTTACAAAACTCTCAAAAACTTGATAACTCAAATTATTATCTCTAAATTGATATCATTAATAAACATCGACTGCAGTGATATTTTTACCTCAAGTTAAACGCAACATCGTTAGACCTACTGAATATGATGAAAATACTGATAGTGACTGATTATAATTATCGCAAGAATCGCAGGTAAATGAGTCGATCCGTGGATCTCGAACGTGACGCAAGTAAATATTATGGATATTCTTTCATTGCGGTGATCGTTTCTGCGGTTTCATGCGTGATATCTTCAGTGCAGGTGATGATTCGTGACTGAGATTATGTTACTCGTTAAGGTCATGTCAATCGAGGCTGATATTTCGTGTAGCGAAATGTTCATCTGCTTCGGGAGAAATTAAGCAATGTTTGTGTGATATTTTCTGCTATGCTCAGGTCAGTTAACACTGTACTGAACATACTTATTGATTGTATAAATCAAGTATAATGTATGAAGATCACCAATATGGCAGCATATGATTTTCGAAGGGGAGTGTGGGCAGAATCAGTGAGTTGGTGAGTTGTGATCAATGATTTAGCAATAAGTGATTGAATCAATGAGTGACTGAATTGGTAAATGACTAAATCAATACGTGACTGAATTAATTAGTGACTAAATCAATGAGTGACTGGATCGATGCGTGACTGAATCAATATGTGATTGGATAACTAAGGAACTGAATCAATATGTGACTGAATCAATACGCGACTGAATCAATGAATGACTGAATCAATATATGACTGAATCAATAAGTGACTGGATCACTAAGGGACTGAATCAATAAGGGATTGAATCAATATGTGACTGTATCACTAAGGGACTAAATCAATACGTGACTGAATCAATGGGTGACTGGATCACTAAGGGACTGAATCAATAAGTGATCGAATCAATAAGTAACTGAATCAATACGTGACTGAATCAATGGGTGACTGGATCACTAAGGGACTGAATCAATAAGTGACTGGATCACTAAAGGACTGAACCAATACGTGACTAGATCACTAAAAGGTTGAACCAATAAGTGACTGAATCAATACGTGACAGAATCAGTACGCGACTGAATCAATAAGTGACTGGATCACTAAGGGACTGAATCAATAAGTGATTGAATCAATACGTGACTGAATCAATACGTGACTGAATCAATGGGTGACTGAATCAATACGTGACTGAATCAATACGTGACTGAATCAATACGTGACTGAATCAATACGTGACTGAATCAATACGTGACTGAATCAATACGTGACTGAATCAATACGTGACTGAATCAATACGTGACTGAATCAATACGTGACTGAATCAATACGTGACTGAATCAATACGTGACTGAATCAATACGTGACTGAATCAATACGTGACTGAATCAATACGTGACTGAATCAATACGTGACTGAATCAATACGTGACTGAATCAATACGTGACTGAATCAATACGTGACTGAATCAATACGTGACTGAATCAATACGTGACTGAATCAATGAATGACTGAATCAATATGGGACTGAATCAATAAGTGACTGGATCACTAAAGGACTGAATCAATAAGTGACTAGATCACTACAGGGTTGATCCAATAAGTGACTGGATCACTAAGAGATTGAATCAATAAGTGACTGGATCACTAAAGGGTTGAACCAATAAGTGACTGGATCACTAATGGACTGAATCAATATGTGACTGAATCAATACGTGACTGAATCAATGAATGACTGAATCAATATGTGACTGAATCAATAAGTGACTGGATCACTAAGAGACTGAATCAATAATTGACTGAATCAATATGTGACTGAATCAATATGTGACTGAATCAATAAGTGACTGGATCACTAAAGGATTGAACCAATAAGTGACTGAATCAATATGTGACTGAATCAATAAATGACTGAATCACTAAAGGATTGAACCAATAAGTGACTGAATCAATAAGTGACTGGATCACTAAGCGACTGCATCAATAAGTGACTGGATCACTAAAGGGTTGAACCAATAAGTGACTGAATCAATACGTGCCTGAATCAATAAGTGAGTGGCTCACTAAGGGACTATATCAATAAGTGACTGAATCAGTCAGTGACCAATAAGTAACCATTAATATCAATAATCTATCTTACACTTTTTCGTCTTAGGTATCTCCGGAAGTCTCCGACGTCTGCGCTCGGTGCTACCGCTCCCTGGACGATTCGACGGTACATGTTCCGGTGTTGGCCAGGAACTAAGACTCGAACAGGAATCACCGACATCGCTGAACACGCTGTCTCGACCACCATGACCGGAAATAGTGGTGCTACCTCCACCAGGACCCGGTCCACCGACGCCTGCCGATCGACCCCTGCTGCTCAGTCCACCGAACAAGCTAATGTCACCCAAGGGTAGTCGTGTAGTGAGCTAAGCTACCTTTTGTCATGCCGTTCAGAGTGTAATTGCTTTTCTTTCTTTCCTTCCGTCGAATATTTTTGCGAATTATTTTAAGAACGGATCACAAAAATCTCACATGAGGGAGGAGTGATTTTTTAAAGATGCAGGAGTTACAATCACATGGACATGCAAACTTCTATTGAACACAGTATTTGTCACTGAAATTGAACAAATTTTTATAGAGTCTTTTATTTTATTTAGAAGAATGGATAGGAAACATTATTTTAATCTTGAAAGTCTGTTAAACGAGTTTAGTATAAATGTCTTCCTGCATGCAGTTATAGAAAGTTGTACTTGAAGAAGGTTTTGTAAAATATGTAAAACTGTAAAATGTCACTGTAAAAATCACTAATTGTAAGATTGAAATTAAAATGAAGAGAAAAATTATTTTTTAGATGTTAGTCTATTCTGAGAAATTAGAATTATTTATTGTCCGGATTCCTTTATTGTTTGTACTTGTTTATTTAGTAATTAATTATGTAAGGTATTAGAGAATTTAGTATCGATTAGTTTGTAATATATCAAGTAATTAATTGTTATAATGAAACATTCTATTTCAACATTTTGAAAAGCCCGCCACAAGGGCTGTTATCACCTACGTCATTAAGTGCTATTATCAACTTCTCAAAGCTTGTTAAACATGTTATATCGATATTATGTATTAATTAATAACGTTATAAAGCTCTTGAAGCATTAAAATCATTATAAATATATAAAAAACATGTTATCGATACAAAAGTACTGACAGAGTTCAGGACGTTGCAGTCAGATGGCACTGCCAGTACGTAGCGCGGCAAATTTAAAATTGTATTAATGTACCCAGAGTATCAACAACAAATTATGAAATAAAAAGAAAAAAATAATATCCTGTAACACCTAATAAGTTGCGTTAACTATATTCCTATATCTTTCGACCTACTTTTTATGATTTCATTGCTTGCAAAATATTTAGTTATTAATTTCTAATTCCTCAGAAGTTTCATCATAATGAACGTTACTCTTCTTTCTCATTAGTTAAAAAATTTGAATAAATAAGATCTCTAAACATCATTCCATCTATTACACTCTAAAACAAACAGGAGTTGCATAGTTTCAAGAAAAAATGGTCGAACATTTAAAGTCAATGTTAAAATCAATACAAATCAAAATTATTTAGAATTAAAATTAAAATTGAAACTAAAGTGTTTTCGAAGATTAGATAATTTGAGTAGGATCCATTTTTCCTTAAACGCAATGTAAAGACAACACTAGCAAGAATTCAAATCTAACAAAGTTTCAGAGCCAAAAAAAAAGTAGAACACTTACGAGGTTACCAACCTAAAGTCGCTGTCCGCAACAATGGAGCAATTATGATCGAGATCTTCACTGTCATCCCCGGAAGTGTGACCACTCTGATTGTCGTGCCGATGTATCACCACAACTTCCTCGTCTTCGGAATCGCCGGCGACTCCGTTGCAAGATCTTCCGACCTCCGCGTCGCTGCCTTGCGACGAGGTCGGAGAATCGTCTATCATCACATCGTGAACGAGTCTGTTACAACAAAAATTTGTATAGTTGTTACTTTATTCTTTAAACATGTCAAGGATCTTCATTGATCGTTTAAAGATTTCGAGTGATAACTGTTAGTTATTAGTATTAATCGTAGTAGTTATCTATAAAATTATTGTAGATTGCAGCAGCGATTTTGTGACGATTTATAGTAGATAGCTGAGTCGCTATTTTTCTCATTCAAGGTGAAATGTTTAGTATTATAAGTTTATTGTTATATTTATTTATGTAATATTTAGTAGGGCATTTTTCTTATTCAAGGTTCAATATTTATTATTATAAGTTTACTATTATATTTACTTATGTAATATTTAGTAGGGCATTTTTCTTATTCAAGGTTAAATATTTTCTATTATAAGTTTACTATTATTTTTACTTATGTAACATTTACTAGGCCACTTTTCTAATTCAAGGTTCAATATTTATTATTATAAGTTTACTATTACATTTACTAATATAATATTTACTAGGTCATTTTTCTCATTCAAGGTTAAATATTTTCTATTACAAGTTTACTATTATTTTTACTTATGTAACATTTACTAGATCATCTTTCTCGTTCAAAGTTAAATATTTATTATCACAAGTTTACTATTATTTTTACTAGTACAATATTTACTAGGTCAGGCTTTTATAGTATTTACTATATCAGACTTTTATAATATTTACTATGTCAATCCTCTTCGATATTTACGACCTAATTACAATTTTATGTATCTCCGTCCATTTTCCGTATAGTAATTTTTCTTGTTCACAAATAAACATAAATCTTGTACAATTTATATCAACCTAAAATTTCATACAATTTGTCTAGTTTCTATAGAACAGTCATTGACCTCATTCAAAATTAAACCTAAAGCCTTTTATAGTCACAATATCATCAAATGCTTGTAACATCATCGTTAAATAAATATAAATAAAAATCTGAAGCTAAAATTTTATAGTTCTGTGTCCATTTTTAGTGCTCTAACTATTTTTGCTCGTCCAGAAATGAACATAAATCTTGTACAATTTATATCAAACTAAAATTTCATATAATTTATCTAGTTTCAATAGAACAGTCATTGACTTGATTCAAAATTAAACTTGAATCTTTTTATAGTGATAGTATCAGACATTTTTAATATTTACTACATCAATCTGTTTCGATGTCTACAACCAAGTTAAAATTTTGTAGTTCATTTTCAGTCTATGTTCATTTTTAATACTCTGATCATTTTGTTCATTCAAAAGTGAACATAAATCTTGAAACATTTTACTAAAAATAATATTTTGTATTGTTTGCTTAGTTTCAGTAGAACATTCACCTTTTTTATTCAAACTGAATTCTGTTCATCACATCCGCAACATCAAACTTTGTTAACATTCATAATTAGTTTCAAATTTCACTTTGCCATCTAAAAGTTAAAAGTTGCAAAACAACTTCTCTAAAAGTCAACGTTATTCAAAACTGTATTTGGTTCTTTCAGTCGCAGTGAATTGCATTAAGTTCGCGTTGTGTAACAAAGTTAAAGGTTAAGGGATGCAATTATTTTTGCACTAATTGCACTATTTCGTTTTGGGTTTTCATTTTATCTTGCAGTAGCTTTGATCGAAGTTCGGAAGACGATCTGATGAGACACTTTACTATGTCTTCTGTTAAAGCATTATCCATTTAAACAGCAAGTGGATCAAAGACTCGCTGCGACTCTCGAGGAACACTTCTTCGCGATGAAGAAACACTCGAATCCGTTTGACCAACAGGTAAACGACGATGTTATCTCATTTAAGTTACCATACACGGACTTTTCTTAGGCTTCGATCTGATCTTCGCGGAGATTTTGATAATCGTCGATGTTCATAAGAAACTGAAGTATCTTCATTCACTGATACAAAAATTGAAGGGAATGAAATTACATATTTTAACAAATAATAATTTTAGAAAATAATTGACTTGAACGGGATGCTTTAGAATTGTGAATAAAGATAGGCAATAAATAGCATGTAGGTGTAAACAGGGATTTTTATAGAATTTTTCTCTAACGACCTGCTATACTCTGACGAGACGTGACGCACTGCACCTCGACTGTGATAAACCTTGCTCGAATTTTTTGTTTCAATTCAATTTGTGTCCAATTATAATTTGACAGGATTAGATTTGTCAAGGATTCTGAAGTACAAAACTAATATAACATTTCAACTTTCTTTATCTATTTTATTACTGTAGCTGTGGTTAGTTAGTTCTGACTGACGCACCTGACGAATAAATCATAAGGGGTTGAAAACAAACAACAGAAGAAAAAATATTGTGTACGATTAAGAATTAAAATGAACCATCACCTTAAACATTTAGTTTTACAATTCAATTACATTCTTTATAAAATTTTATTTGTTCAAAATAAATTCAATAAGAATCTACTTCCACTTACGAATTTCAAAAATTCGTGCAAACTTCCTCACCAAAAAAAGAAATAAAAGAAAACGAAGTATGACATTTATATTTTGAACTAAATAATTAAATAACGATAAGAATTGAAGCTCTTCATTTATTGATAGTAAGCTTGTCAGTGTAAAATAGGAATAGAGACGAATGTCTCGACTGAAAATGATCTCACGTACACGACGTGAACGTATCGATTTTATTTTATTCCCTTTTGCCTTCCGGTTCGGTTCGTGTATTTTCCGACGTAAATAAGTGAAATTGACGCGCACACTTTACGTTTCTTCCCTCCCGTATCATCAATTATTTGAGGCAATTCGTTTTTGAAGCTTCAATTTTAATTTCTTGGATTTATTGAAGTTATCTTGCACTGTTTCTAAATATTGTGATTCTAAAAATTACTGCAATTTTTTAAATTTATCACAAGGAAGTTTTGACTTATTTTATTTTGATAATTTTTTAACAAGATTTAACAAATCATTCTTTTAACAACTTGTGCATCATGAATATAATTGTTTTCTTAATAATTTATATAATTGTTTTCATCATTGTATAACATTTCTGTAATTAATGGATTCGGCATTTGTTACTACAGTGAGTATTAAAAATTTGTATTTATGTAAACTTTGAGAATTTTCTGCAAACTAGAACGTAGAGTATCAATAATTTGAAATTAAGTCACTTCGATATACAAGTTATTAATATTTCATATCTCACAGCAACAAAGTTTAAAGGGTACTCAAACGAAGGTTGAAACGTAGGAGTAATAAAAAACTCTGATCTAACTTTTTCAAATCCTCGCCATATTCAAGGCATCTAAAATAGAATACTAAACAGAAAGTCTGAAAGTGTAATCAGTGGTTGCGGCAATCAATATCAAATCACTGAAGATTCACCCCGTGTTAAACGTTTTATTAATATTTTACTGCAATTATTCAACTTAACTTTTTACTGAAATTATTAAACCTAACATTTTACTGAAATTTTATTAAAATTACTATTCTTGATACTTTATTTAAATTTTATTAAAGTTACTGAACTTAACATTTTACTGCAATTTTACTAGAATTATTGAACTTAACATTTTACTCAAATTTTATTGAAATCACTAAACTTAACATTGTATTGAAATTTTACTAAAATTATTGAATTTAACATTTTACTCAAATTTTACTGAAATTATTAAACCTAACATTCTATTAAAATTTTACTAAAATTATTAAACTTAACATTTTACTCAAATTTTATTGAAATCACTAAACTTAACATTGTATTGAAATTTTACTAAAATTATTAAACTTAACATTTTACTCAAATTTTACTGAAATCACTAAACTTAATATTGTATTGAAATTTTACTAAAATTATTAAACTTAACATTTTACTGAAATTTTACTGAAATCACTAAACTTGACATTGTATTGAAATTTTACTAAAATTATTGAATTTAACATTTTACTGAAATTTTACTAAAATTACTAAACTTAGCATTTCACTAAAATTGTACTGAAATTACTTAACTTAACATTTCACTAAAATTTTCCTAAAAATTACTAAACTTAACATTGTACTGAAATTTTGCTAAAATTACTAAACTTAACATTTCACTAATATTTTACTAAAAGTACCAAACTTAACATTTCACTAAAATTTCACAAAAATTACTAAACCTAACATTTCCCTAAAATTACTATTTCCTTTAAAAATAATATCAGTTCCCAGTAACAGGTATAAATTAAACGCAACTTAATTCCCAGCATCATAACATTTAACATCTCAAATATTAAACCTGTAGAGAAGAAACATTCATTTCACTCTAACTATCTGCCATTATAACATCTACTAGAAAACAAGATAAGAAGATTATAAAAACGTTTAACCATCGTCACATTGAATTTATTTCAAGTACAAAGAACATCATCGACCGCGCCTCCACGGTTTATCTTTTCGATGCACCTATGCGGTACTCCCATGATCTCCTCCCCAAAGTATACTTCGTGTCGCAACACTATTAAATAATGAAACCCTAATGCAACCTCACTGTATTCCCAAAGAAATAACACAAGAAACTCATACATATGCAACAAACTGCAATACACTGATCGACCTAAATCACCAAAAGGAACTCTTCAAAATCCCCAAACTGGAACACATAAATTCTTAAGCAACAAATTTTCTAGCATTCTTCACATTTACAGCACGTTAGCAAAATTTCAAATATATGACATTTTACATAACACTTGATCAAATTTTCGATCCATTCGATTGTCTCGCTGTGTTCGAAATATTTGATGTTCAGAGGTAAGATGATGATGAATAAGGAGGAATCAAGGAGAGGAATCTTGAAGAGGAATAATAGAGAAATTACGGCAGAGGAATTACAAAATCAAGGTTTTATAGGATTTGTAGCATGTAGGTTACAAACTTAATTATATCAGTATTTCAATCGAAGCTGAAACTGGTGGCAATCGTGTCGAAGACCCTACAACCCCTACTTCGGACCTACCCACTAATATTTCAGCACCCAAATCCAATGGCAAAGAAATACAAATTAAAACCTAAAGATTTAATTCTGAAGATTGTCTGAAAATTCCACAAGACCTATAGGGATCGTAAGTTTAATAGAATTGCTAACACCCCTCACCATTACAACCCCCATACGAATGTATCCTTAAAAAGAATGTATCCTTGAAAAATGATTACACCATGAAGGTATACAAAATGATAAAGGTGTAGTGTCCGTGAATGTCAACGCGAAAAGTGTACTCACGTGTAATTCGAAAGGGGTGCTTTCAGATGCTGCGGAAGTTTCTCGAAGTAATGTCTGAATTCTTCGAACTCGGTGTCGGCCATTCTGTCAAACGGCGGTTAAGACACGGCGTGGGGTCCTGAAGACGGCCGTGACGGCCTGGAGGATAGAGCTGCTCGTCGACCCCCAGAAAACGTACGGGCCAAGATGTCGCTGACGTTGGGGACGACGTAAAGCGACGACGACCGCTTCGACGCCGCTCGCGACGCCCTATTGATTCCTGCGTGGTGAGCGTCGCGCACACCCCCGCGTGCACTGCACGATTTTGCCGTGCACGCCGCCAGGAAATCGAACCGGAGAAGCCAAAACGTTGTCTTCCAGTCGACTCCAGTCGGGGTTGCTCGATTTAACCTGCTCCTTTTTAGACGGCTCGTTTTCCTACGTAACGTCTTTTCATTACTTGCTAATTAGTTTCGAGGCTGCCCTGCGGCCATCACGATTACCAGCCCGGTACTCTTCGCTCAGGACGATTTTTAAAATTAACCCTTCAGATTTCAAGTTTACCGCTGGTTTTTGTATGAAGATATTTCTTGGTAAAGGGGGATGTTTTTTAGGAAGCTGTCTTTCGATCAACGAGCTGTTTTTCTTAGGAAACTGTGTACATTTTTACTATGTCGGCTACTTTTCGCTGGGGTTGATGTACGATTTTAAAAATTAGATTAACCCTTGAGGTTTCAAGTTTACCGCTGTTTGAAGCTGTTTCTCAATGAGGGAAGGCAGCTGTTTTTTTTTATGAAACTGTACATTTTTACTATGTCGGCTACTTTTTACTGGGGTTGATGTACGATTTTAAAAATTAGATTAACCCTTGAGGTTTCAAGTTTACCGCTGTTTGAAGCTGTTTTTCAATGAGGGAAGAGAGCTGTTTTTTTTTATGAAACTGTGTACACTTTTACTATGTCGGCTACTTTTCGCTGGGGTTGATGTACGACTTTAAAAATTAGATTAACCCTTGAGGTTTCAAGTTTACCGCTGTTTGAAGCTGTTTTTCAATGAGGGAAGGGAGACGTTTTTTTTTTTTATGAAACTGTATACATTTTTACTATGTCGGCTACTTTTCGCTGGGGTTGATGTACGAT